TCTTTTTTCTCGGGGGGGGGGGGGGGGTTCATCTACATTTACAGTGGTGCAGCCGAGCTCAGGGGCCTGGCCCTTGGAAATAAGGCGCTTGAAACTGCAAAAGAATAAAAAAGCCTGACGTCTTTCTCATGGGCCTGTGCAATCAGAGCACTTTTTGCTGTGGAGTTTGATTCAGTCACCTGCATGCTGTGGTAAGTCTGGGGTACAGAGCTAAGATGCAAGATCCTGGTTTCAGCAAGAGCTGAGCTCTCGATTTCAGTGCATCACGTCAGAAAAAGGTAATCGGGACTCGTAGTAGAGATAATGTGTCTTTTATTAGATTTTTGCAACAAAAAAATAAATTCCTTAATTGCAAAAATCTTGTTGGTCTAATAAAAGTTACCATTTCTACGCCCTGATTGTCTTTTCCTCTAGACCAATACGGCTATAACCTGGATACCTAACTTCAGGAAAATCGTTTATCGGTTTCCAAGCTGAGGCAGGCCAGGTGTGGAATTGGGTAAAAAAAAGTGGAAAGTTCACCAAACGTCCAAACCCTGCATTGAAGCGAGTGTTTCCCTGGGCAACTCCATAACAACACATGTTCAAACATCCGTGGGCTAATACTAACTTGCAGTCGTACCTGACTAATCGACTCGAGTCTCGCTCCGAACTTAACAACCTGGGGTTATTAAAAGCCAATGTTTTGATTGAATAAATTAGAGTCTTTTTCAGCTCTAGATGTATTGTTTGAGCGTGTGTGTGTGGGGAGGGGGAGGGGGACTTTTTTGTTTTATGGCAAGAGAACCAATTAATTAAAAAGGAATGTATTAAAATGTGGAAGTCCACGTACAGGGGAGGAAATCCATATCAGGTGGGCAAAAAATGAAAGTCAATAGTAGAATAGATGGCTTTGTTTGGCTTTTCAGGGATGATGGATAAGTGTGATACTAAAGCAGAGCTAAAATGAAACACCCGCATGAAATAAAGCAGAGAGACTTGATTTTGAGACATTTGCTGCTTTTTTTTCTCTCTCTCTAAGTTCCTACGCCAAGTAAAAATAGGCATCGAGATGCCGAAGTGCGGAAGACAGAGCTCTTACTAAAATTAAATGCAATTGATTCTGTTCATTAATTATGATTGCCTGGGTGAAATTCCCTCTGGCTCAAGCAGGCAAAGATCCAGGGGAAGCAGTGGAGCTGTGTTGAATTTGGCCGGCTTTCATCACCAAAATGTGAGCAAACGCAGGATTTCGGGGAAATGTGCGTTCCGCTAGCCAGAAAGCGGTCAAGCCCAGCTCATGAGTTGGGGCCAAATCCTGAAAGGTGCAGAGCACGTTGCCACTGAAGTCAACAGGGGAGGGGTTATTCAGGAGGTGGGTTTCTGCCATTACAGACCAGATCCAGAGTTGCCTCTGGATGCATAGCATGGCTCAGATACACAGAACAGAGGTGTCAGTTCAGTCTCCGGTGTCAAATAGAGCATCCTCGAGACTGCTCTGATTTATGTTGGCTATTCAGTGGCGTCGTTAGGGGCAGGCACCAAACCCGGGCACCCGTTTTGAGGGCACAAGGATGGTGCCTTGGCTACAGCTGCCTGCTGGGGCTCGGAAACTACCTGTTACTCCTCTGTGGCTGCTTTTGGCCCTTAATGGGCTGCTTTGGCAGCTGGGGATTGATGGTGTCTAAAGGCAACCTGGCTACTATCCCTTTCACCCACTGCAGAGGCTGGGGGGGTGCATGAGCTGCCGGTCCGTTCCCTTCTGCAGGCATGCAGCCATCATCCCTCCCCATAACTCGCACACACATCTCACCTGTCCCTAATCTCTGCAAAGCTCCTCCTCATCGCAGTGTCCTAGTGAAATGCATCATGCTAACGCACCACCTTGACCGTGCTTTCCTGCATGTCCAAAGAGGAAGCGTGGCTTACCGGTGACAAAAGAGGAGAGGCAAGAGGTAGCAGGAGGCGGAGGGGCTGGGTGGTGTTATGCAATGCCTTGACCTCTTTGTGCACGAGTGAACTCAGCTGGATGAGTGACTAAAGAGCAGTGGCAATCAGATGGCTGCAGTTGAGCAAAGCTTTCCCGGATCTGTCTCGCTGACTGCTTAAATTAGACCAACCATACTTTGCGTTGAACCCAGCTGGCCCATTCAGTTGCTGTCTGCTCTGGATCCTTCTCCCCAGCCCATAATTGCTCATTTGGAAACGTGGAGCGGAGTGCAGGCAGATAAACTAGCTGAGACACGGTATGAGCGGGGGGGAAAAATCAACGCCAGGGGTTTAAATTGGAGCTGGAATGAGCCACTCGTCGGAGAAGCGTGTTCCTGTGAATAAGCCCCATGGATTTGCATAATAATAGCGGTGGGTCTAACCATGCGTGTGCCCGAGGTTGGTGATGCAGAGCTTATTTCGCTGTGTCCGTTTGAGATCAGGATTCAGTAGCTGCTGGCGGGGCCATGAATGGCTCCCCATGTGGCTTGAGATCTCGATAGCCCTGTGGCTTTCAGCCTGAGGGCTTGGCAAGGGTCACGTTGCAGTCACGGAGCATTAGGGGGTCTCCGCGGGCTGGGGCCCACCACTGCAGCGGTGTAGACAAGGCCGCCCTGCTAACCCATTTCTGAGATGAGCAGGAAGGCTTCTGGTTCCCTGCATTACCCATTACGTTTTTGCAGCCATAACACCGTAGGGGCTTGGGATGCAGGCTGCCGTTCTGGAGGACGGGGCAGCACCGCCCGGGAGGTGCTGGAGCCCACTGCCTTCAGTGAACTGAGCTCTGGGGAGACCCATCACACTTTTCTCTCCAAGGGGTGGCTTGGTTGGGATCATTAGGGATCCCAGCGATATCTGTGAGCACACTTCACTTTTGGATCTTCTCTGCACCTCCCCGGCCCCCCCCCAGGAAAGTGAAGAGCTGGGGACTCCCTGTTATAAATTCTTCTGCACTCCCAATCCTAAATGCTGCATGGATGTGCTCTGTCGGACCAGCTTGCCTTATTCCATCTGGTTGCATTTCTGAAGAGGCCAAAGTTTGCATGCCTTCTGACAGGCTTCGGGAGGCCTTTCGAGATGGAAAGTGCAATAAAAATGTAGGGTATTATTAAAAGATTTCTCTCTCATGCATTTTTTTTAAGCCTCTTGAGTACAGCTAGTGAAACGTTTTGATCCAAAAAGGGGCTTTTTTCCAGCAAAACAAATTTTTGCTGAAAAATACCCATTTTCAATGGCTATATGTTGACAAAACCTGCAAATGTTTCAATCGGAGGGAAAGAAAAAAGGAGTCTGCTGCCTCTTTGGGCTACTTTGCAGAACACGGTGAAGCAAGGCGGATCCTTGGCCGGTCAATCAGTGATGTCCGTGTTCAAGTCCACCTACCGCAGCGTGTCCTAGGGGAGATGAAACACTGGTTTGGAGACCTATGTTGTATTCCTGGCTCTGCTACGGACCTGACGGGTGACCTCAGATGAGTCCCGTTCACCTTTCTGGGCCTCCGTGTCCCCATTTCTGCAGGGGAGATGATTCACTGCAAACTGATTTGAGATCTGTGGATGAAAAGTGCTACATGCAAAGAGCCAAGAATCACTATGACCCTGTTGTTGGCAAGAGCAGGGCTAGAATAGGGCTAATATGGAAATGTCATGGGGCTGGTGGTAGAGTCACTGGAAAAAGCAAGCATGTGAACGTGGTGGACCATCGGGCGCAGAGAGTGGTAGTCGATGGCTTGATGTCTCGTTGGTGGAGTGCCCCAGGAGTTGGTCCTGGGGATGGTTTTGTTCAATGCCCTCATCAGTGACCTGGAAGATGGGCAAGTTTGCAGATGACACCAAGCTGCGGGGAGTAGTAGATACACTGGAGGGTCGGGCTAGGATTTGGAGAGCCCACAGCAAATTGGAGGATTGGGCCAAATTAAATCTCATGAGGTTCAACAAGGACAAGTGCAAAATCCTGCACTTAGGACAGAACAGTCCCCTGCACCAGTATAGGCTTTGGCTTTTTTTCTGGTGGGGTGTTCATTAAAAACCCAAATCTCTCTCAAAACTAGTTGACAGAAATGATTTGTTTGCTGAAATATTTCACGGCAAAGATTTAAAAAAAAGAAAAATCCCATTTTGCAGCCAGCGGTATCCTTGAGATGTCCAAATATTCTCTTGGACCTTGGGCTGAGCTATGTTGTAGTTGGCATCAGTCTTCTGTAGAAAAACAACCCAGAAAGAGAGAGTCATTCAGAAACAGGTTTTTGGGGGTTTTCACTTGCCCTCTCCCTTCTTTATCCAGACAGGTCTTTGGTTATTAGGTATGCT